CATGACTGTGCGCAACTTCAAGTTTCAACCAATCAAATAAACAAGGTCAACTTGTTCTTATGTGATGGAATCTGTTCAGAGAGGTGCGCCATGTCATCAACATCGTAAGCGAATGGCTGTAATTGCTTTGATAGGATGGAGTCCACAGAACCATGGGAACGGTTTCATCTCTACCATTCCCTAACCTTTGGGATTGCGTCATTTACTAAGGTAGCCACCTGAAAACAAGCAAAGCCGTAAGCATATATTAATTTTTGTTCGACAGTATGAGTCCGGGATGTCCTCGACCATTTTCTTGTTGTTTCTCAAATTAAAATAAAATTAATAAATAAGTTGAAATCGAACTAAATTGATAGGTAGATGCCATTTTCGCGAATTTGGATCCTGAAATATATAAAAAACAATTTTTACGATTAAGACGTTCTCAAGCAGGAAATCTTTCAAAATTTAAACCTTCCTTCACATATGATGCATATAATTCTCGAGTTGTATTCAGGTTTGCGTGAAGGAGAAACAAGTACTTTACCTCAACAGCTGAATGTACCGTACAATTTATCAATGACGATGACAAAGGGAAAATGACGGAGAGCTATTGAGAACGGAGAAAATCTGAAGGAATTATAATAGTCGAATGTAACTGTTTTCGAGTGCGTAGAAACGGGCTTGAGTGAGAAACTGGTAACTCGTTAGCGATGAGGACTGTTACGAACACTGTGACGGACGAACGTCGACTGAGGACAACCAGTCATGACTAGCTGTAATTGGCACCGTCTATGTGTACGTGTATGTTGTTAGTACAATAACTTGTTATAAAATGATCCTAGGAACGTGACGACTAGGCAGGGGTTGTTTACTTTGCCGTATTACCTCAGGTGTGATGAAAGTGTTACCATTATGCAAACAAATCTAAAGGCACCATCTTCACGATAACTTCGAGGTACCCTTTTTGAGTCGAAAAGCGGAAGTATTGTTTAGGAATAGTAGCTAGTGGTGAAGGAAGCGAGAAAATTCGGCGATCCTGTGAAAAGGGTGCTCAAAAGAAGTGAAAATAGAGGTTGTACGAGATTAGCATGACGAAAATGACATGGAAAGGGCATTCGGACGAGACTTTAGCTATGCAGAATAGAGCTGACTACATCGAGCTAGAACTGCACAGAACTGCCTTCCACTGTCGCTATGGATCATGACGAATTGTTTGGAATTCCTGTATGGGTTCCCTTGTGATCGGTGCAGCGTCTACTGTACTGATGAAACTCGTCCGAGGATAT